GTTTTGGCCATGTATATCAGTGTATAACTTTGTTTACCCGAGTGCAACTACGTTTTTTGCTTCAGCATTGCCCGGAATTGATCAAAGAGTTCGAACAAATGGAATCCTTGAAGAAGAAACAGCGCGCGAAGAGGCTGGAGGAGCAAGCAATGCGCGCAAGAAAGCGAAAACAGGAAGCGGAGCAAAGAGCAAAAGCGGCGGTATTATCTATTTAAATCTTTCCCACCAATTCTTTGGGAGGTTTCGATTGCAAAAATAATGTTTTACATCATTTTTTGCATGTTATATATGAGATTGCACGAACATGTAGCTTGTCATTGGCGTACGAGCCTGTTTGGCGCCATACCTTTGCCTCCAAGTTGTTAGGAGGTTCTGAATGCGATGCTCAAACCTCTTGAAGCCGCTGTCAACATGAGCTATCATGCTAATATCCTACATAATGCAAACGCGCGCGACCACGGAGACAGCAATCATTAGCTGTCCAAAGTTAATGGTATTAGCTACGTCTCCATTGGGCCGTTAGGGGTGTGGGTGATGCTCAAACGCCAAGTGTTCTTTCCACTGCGTATGGTAAGTATTTGTAATTGAAGATGCAATTCTAGTCCTAATGTTGTGATCAGCATTTCAAATTTGATTGATCTAGGTCTTCAATTAATTTCTCGGCACCGTTTTAGGAAGGAAGTAACCGGTTGAGTAGCATCATCAGTTTTTATTTTCACAAGTTTAATCCTCGTCGGTTTCTCTGATCATCACCATTTTCTTTAGTCCTGTATAACCGTTACAGCACAATTTATTTTACAATCTTTCCGCTTCTTTCGTTTCAATAGTCAGTATTAGTTTCCTAGCAGGCACCGCTGTGCCACCTTCCTGCGTATCTTAGCCGTTGTCTTTTCGCTCATCGTCCCCGTCAATTCACGTTCCTTTTTATCATATCATATCACCATTTGTTCGAACTAGTATCACTTCCCATCGATGCAGCTAACTTGAGTAACATCAACTTGTCACTACATTTACCATCAGTTTCATCCCGATCTAGTTATGGGTTTGAATCGCCTGTAACTTACCTGTCACAGCCAGTGATATGAGCGTTTTCGAGATGGACATACCAATACAAGAGCTAATAGACGCACGAATTAAGCGCCGTATTAGTGTTAAGAAGTGGCTCCCCTGCTTGTATAAATTTACGTACATCATTCAACTCATTCCTCACATTCTGTTTGCTTTTAGCGCTTCGCATCATATCGACGTAATTGATGTCTCGGTTATTTTTCAGTTCGCTTCAACATCAAGAAGGAATAGTACGGAGGAGGCACACCGTAAAAAAGTATGTGACTGTTCCAAAGTTGCGGGAATACTAAGAGATTAACTTGTTTCAGTCTTGCAAGGAAATAAATCTATGCTCCAGTTCAGATTCCTCTGAAGAAGAAGAAATTCAGGTGTGGTCATTAATACTATTCTTTGCCATTTCATTGAATCGATGAAGTTGTTGAAGAATGATCGGGTTTGTACATGTTTTTTATAGATTCGGTCGTCAGGTCCGCCCGTGCATAATAGATCAAAGGGTAAATTTCAGCCTAACGTCAGGCGTCGAACTGACAAGAAGAGTGCGGCCCCATCTCGAAGTCCTGATCAACATTCGAAGAAGAAAAGTAAGCACAAAGCAAGTCCGAAGCTCAAAAAACGTATTGAGTCGACATCGACATCCAGCGAAGAAGAAGAAGTAGTAACCCCGGTTAGAGAAGCGTTCTCAGGTGAGACAATTTTCCTTGATGCCTTGAGGTTGTACTTATTGGAAAGCTGTGATCTCTTTTGATTCTCTTAATAGAATATTGTTGAGGCGTTGTCATCATTAATACGTTGGCGGAACACTAATCTCTCCTATGTCCGCCGCGTCATGAGCGAACTTTTTCATTTAGAAAATGCGTCGTAATGCTTGAGCGCGCATCAAAACCTGACAAAAAGACTAACACTCAATGCAAAAACTGATGAGTTTGTTTGGTTGTGCTGTCAACACTTTGCATAATGTCTGGTTCTGTTAAAAAAGAACTTAACTCGAAAACTATTGAACAGCCCCCCCCCCACTAATTAAAAAACTTTATGGGACCTCGCACGGTTCGTTAGAGCTCACGCAACCGTGCCTCTAATATCACGGATTTCAAATCAGCACATTTGCGGCACTGTCCGCCCTCCCGCTCGTCATGCTCAGCGGACTCTGCGCATCGCGCGGTTCATTCGTAAACAGCTATACTTAGAACATAGTGAACAAAAAATTTCGATAGGGTTTCCTACTTGATGCTCATCTGGCTGCCAGCCGGGGATAGCAACAGACTCAGTTCTAACGCTCTCAATTTAAGAGCTTCTGCAGACGGAGTCAAGTACCACTGAGCTCAGATTTACTCCTAGAAACAATAACGACTTGCGGGTCGAGAGCATTAGCACAATCCGACGCAACAGGAGTTTGATGGTGAGACCCTTATAACATACTAGCAGATAACAGACTAATCTAATCACCATCAAAACCAGCAACTGCGAAAATATGACATTTTACGAGAACAACCTACTTCAAGATGACCTTCTGCCCGCTTACTAAACGCAACTTCGATCTGATCTTTACCTCGAGGGCACTATCCGAGCGTAAGCGCCTTAAATTTCGTGTGTCATTCCGGCTTATCTGACTGCCCTAAGAGTTGCCCTTGTCCGTGTATGTTGCCCGACCCTGGCCCGCTGACCCCCCGTATTCGATCAGTGGATGAGTCAGTGTGACACTGCAGTGAAACGGTGTGGTGAAAAACGAATCCGAATCCGCTTAACACAATTGAACAGACGCGCGGCGCGCGTTTTGGCTTTTTTGGCCGTGTGAGACCGGGCCGATTTTGCGAGTGCGACCGCCGCACCTCGGATCCGTGAATTTTTATTGATAACTTTTTAAAGCACCAGTGGTACAAAAACATCTCAGTAACAGTCAATGCGTAGAAGGTAACCATAGAGTATATAGTGACGAAGTTCCGATTAAAGAACATGTAATGGTAATGAAAAAGGAAACTTTAGTCATTTTATCTGTAGTGGATGCCAAAAGCTCTTTTGATGTGGTTATACCAAGTGAAACATGTATTTTTCTGTCTCTTTAGATTTGCATTTACTTTCACTACCCTTTTTTATTGACGTGTTCATGAGAATAGCATGAAAACTATTAATGAACCAAGCCGCCGGTTTCGGTGAGCTTGGAAAACTTCTTCTAAACTGGAGCATATTTGAACAAACAATGACCTATGTCGTTCACAATAATGTTATGTTCTAATCCATAGAAGAGAGACAAACAATTTCGGGAAAAGCTGCATGCGCCTCCGCCCTTAGCAAAAAGTGGATTAATAAGGGTGAGACGCGTTATACCGGCGTCTCAATGTCGATCAATCGTGTGCTTAGAAGCAACAGTCCCAGCAGGGTGGGCGTGGTCGGAAACTTGACTGAAATCCCTCGGCCGATTCCGACCTACGCCACTTCAGCTACCTCCCTAGCGGCCTTCCAAGGTGAGTTTTTGTTCAGTCACACTTCTTACGTTCTTGACTAGAAAGACTGCGCTTCTCGATCAGTGTAATGCGCCCCGAAGAGAATTGCAGGCCGTTTTTCCCCCGCAGCCCACGCCACTCACAGCTGCGCACCTGTCTGCTTATAAGCGAGAGGATCCCTTGACGACGAGAACTGACTAGCTTACGGAGTTTCATTACATGATCTTCCAGGCTCTGATACGGTACCCTCTCGGCGATGGGACCCCAGTGCGGTAGGACTGACGTTGCTTTTTGAGACTGATAGACTTCCTGGGAATTGCCGCAAAGCTCGATCATCTCATGGCTTTCTCCATCTTGTAGGTATGCACTCCAAATTTTACATCAACAACTTAGCTTGAGCCCCACCAAGTAGCTCGCACAGAAACTCTCTCCAAATATAGCCAACACCCCACGACTTTCTTTCGCTTTCAAAAGCTGACTGACTCGCTTTCAAAAGCTAGATTCCCTCCGCTTCCTTCTCGGTCTTCGTCTTACTGGACTATTGTGATTTGGGTTCTAGCTCCGCTCACTATGTTGTATGCTACCCACCGATACCTTTGACTTTACCTCCAAACATACTGGTTCGCCTTTTCCAGCTGTGGGCCTCTTTCTGGAACCCGCCATAATGAAAGTTTGCTTGGAGCAAACTTCGTCCTCATTTTTTTGCACAGGTTTGCAAGTTTACCTCCTTCCCTTCGTCTTCTAAATTCTTTTTTTTTCGGTCTCGTAACATCGTCACTGCTCAACCGGACTAATAAGCTTGCGTAGCGGACTGCCGCTTACATGCTGCACGCCCACACCCAAGCATCAAGCCTTTTTAATCTCCCTTCATAAACTGTCTCCAGACACCTTTTCCTGCTAATCGCAAGACTACTCGAAGACCGGAACTTAATCGAGCGACCATTAGGAAACGCCATCCACTTCAAGACACCGCCTATAACGTGCGCGAGTTACCCTCGTCACGGCTAGTTGGGAGCCAACTCGCCTCAAATTACATATAAAAAACAAATGAAGCAGAATCACAAATTCTCACAGACAGTCCGTAAACGGGTGAGTCAGAGTTTGCCGCGCTTTTTCCACACCCAGTATGTGCACCTTTTATTAAACTGATGAAAGCATGAGAACGTGGTCACTTTTAGCATTAGCGATTGGAGGGTCTCCTTATTCCTGACTCACTTTTTCCAGATCACCGGATGCGAAATCATTGATACGAACAAAGTGCATATGGCGAATACCGACCGATTTGTGAGGTACCCTCCACATTTTGCCATTTCTTTTTGCGTGAAACTCCAGTTCAGGCACTTCGTTGCTATCTTATCCGTAGTACTAGAGAGCAGTTCTTTGGGCTATCCAACACTACGGATAAGATAATAAGTGAACGACTCATTTCGAGCGTACTTTTGATAAGGACCGGTGGATGTCCTACATTCCACACTACCTGCCCACATCCCATCCACTTTTCTGCACAGGTGATCCACCCTGGAGCTCCTGCACCCTTAGCCCTAGGCAGAGGTGTCCATTCTCCTGGTCCAGGACCGTTCCCTTGGACCATGGCAGGCGGAAATGTGAAGACATCTTGGGACTTCTTCCACATTACAGCGATACTTACCCGTCTTCTCTCCAAGGGCTAAGTCCTGGGTAAGCAAACCAGCCCTTTTGGCGGAGCTGCTGGACCTAGCTGCACCACTTCGTCAGTACTCTCCTACCGTACCGACCGAGTTGAAGTAGTCCGTCGACCTCGGGGACCCCATCCCCTCCCCAACATTCAGCATACGGCCCCAGCAGAAACGCCAAAAGGGCTGGTTTGCTTACCTCCTCCCTGCCTGCCTTTTGAACTTCTCCGCAACGTAGAGCAAAAGGCTCGTATTTCCTGTGTATTTCACTTTTTTTCCTTTTTTCTCCACTGGCGGTCCACTTCCCACCCCTACTTTCACATTTGAGTGGAATTACCTCATCAATTTATTCCTGAATCTTGCCTTTAAGGGAAGCATTGATCCAGATGATGCCTACAAGTACGTCATGCGAGAATCGGATGGTTTCGAGAAAGGGTACAAGGTGAGTGTCTGCCAACTGGGGATGTTCTTATACAAATAGCCTATTTTGTTCACTCAGGCTGTAAAAGTTAGCGTTGTCTGCCAACATCCAATAACGAGAAAGCTGGTTGCTGTAGTGGTATTTGTCGACCCGTCAGATGGACATGAATTCGCGCAATATATTCCTTTTCGTGAAACACATTTGAACGCTCCCATGGTTGGTTTTTTTTACCGATATTTGACGTATCACTTCATTATATAAACCAGAACTTTGGTGTGTCGGTTTGTCGGTGTGTGTGTGTGTCGTTCTGTCCGTCCGGACCGCTCAAAAACCAGGGAGTACGAAGGGCAACACTTCGTGATGTTGATGTCATGATCATGATAACACCCACAGCGGCTATATAAACACCGATCGAGCACACTCAGTCTCATTCTACATGGTGCTGCCGTGGCAGCCGGATGAGCGGGGGAGGGTGGAGAGGGGTAGAGGGAAGGGGCAAGAAAGGGGAGGCTGGAAGGGAGGGGAGGGGAGAGAGAAAGGGGGAGGGAAGGGAGGAGAGAACATGGCGCTGCCATGCGCCGGAGAGAAGGGGTATAAGGAGGTATAACACATTCAATAGTGAGGTGGTTAATGGAGTACGTCATGCTGCTATTCCGTGGTTCCTCCCTACCCTGTGATGCGCGCGATAGCGGGCGGAGCAAAACTGGTTTTAAAAATATATTCCATCTTGGGGCGTTGTAACTCCGTAGTGTAATCGTGCAGTTGTAAATTTGACTTCTTGTGAAAAGGTAAGAATCCGTTTCCGCTTTGAAATTTGAATAAATAAGGAATATCGTAATGTCTGTAGATGTATGTTATGGAATCCAGTGCTACCATTTTTCATTCCTATTACGTCACAATGATTGATTGACGTGATTTATTGGAATCTAATATTCACCCATTATCATTCTTATGAAAGCACTTCAGGAGCTACGACAATACTTTGTAGCTGCTAGTGGATGTACAGATCCGAAAAAGCTTGCGCTGCATCTGCTGCTGCAGTTGCCCAAGGCACCTTAAACGGAATTTATGATGCCTTCACTCAGTAGACTAGCCTTCAATTTGTTTTTGTACATGTTTGTTGTTATTTTTATTGTTACGAATATAAATTTTATAAACAAGAACGAGATGTGCATTTAATCTTCTTGATGTATCCACTCAAATTTCATGTATTATTTGCAACAGTTTCCCGTCTCTCGCAAAACTAAGTTCATGGTAACTGACGTATGGGAATAAGACTTGACAACGTTGTCCCGCAGACAGAAGAGACGTGTCTATGGATGTGACTGCAGACTATGCGAACTGAACAGTTGACGTGAATTTGTTCTATCTTCAGATCCTGCATGCCAAATCCTGTAGGAGTAAGTTGGTTTGGGTTACTTTGTGCCCATTTTAGATGCATGATGATAAGAATTGCATGTTATGCCATTTTCGTAGTGATTTTGCCAAATTTGCGATTTGAATCGTTTCCATATGCTCAGATCGTAAGACACGTTCTTCGGAAAAAAGTCGAAAAAGTCAAAAGCACAAAATCATACCTTTAAACTCCTACTTCATAATGCCTTTGCACTTACAACGCACTTGTAATCACTACACGAATTCTGTCTTACCTAGATCTAATCTTCACTGCATGTGCTTGGTGGAACTTTCATAAACGTTTGTGCTCTGAGGAAAACGATCTGAAGCGTTGACAAAGAAAATAAAAAAAAATGAGAAGATAAACATAACATGCCTACTTTCGACCTAGATGACATGTCGTCATACAGAACAACAGCGGCGTGCCACTTCTTCGAGTGACGGATTTCTTGAAGGGAAGGTCCTCGATTTTCTTTCAAATGATGTACAAACTTCAAATATTTTGCTGACGCTTTCAGTACGTTTCAGTACGTGATTTTATGATAAACCATCCGAATGACATAGCATTTATTACAGCATTTGTTATAGGTTCAATAACAAATGGATGATATGCGGCAGTGGGCATAGCTGCTTAGTGTTGAAGCAACAATTTCACATCGAATTGGCAAGGTAAAAGTGCTCGATAATGAAATGTGGATGCCGAGGTGACTGCAAAAAAAAAGAAAAGGAAAACCGCCGATGAAGCTCTAAACAAGGGCATCCCATTCTCCTTCTTGATATAAGGCCGACTAGCTCTCCAAACGCTTACTCCACCGTCATTTATTACTCGCTCGTGCCCACAAGTCATGCGGTTGCAATCGCATGAGCACGACACAAACCGAGAAATTACCTCACCACCTGTATCACCTGTCGTCCCGTTGATCGTCGATTTGCTCGAGCGGGCGCCAGCAACGTCTCCATTCGTCCCTGTCGCGTGCTAGAGTGGTCCAGTGGATCCTCCTCGCTCGAGGGACACGAAGTCCTTCATTCCTTTCGTTCAGAGCTTTCGTGAAGAAGTCTGACCATCGGGCCGGCGGTCGTCCAGGTGTTCGTTTGACGTCCCGAGGGATCCAGTCGGTAACCGCTCTGGTCCAACGGTCATCGCAAAATCGCATGACGTGTCCGGCCCACCTTATCTTCGATTCCTTGGCGAAAACGGCAGCGTCCCTGATCTTCGATCGTTGGCGTAGTTCGGAACTCCGGATTCCCCTCTGCACTTGCGTGTATAGGGTTACTCCTAGCATCGTCCTCTCGACAGCGCGTTGGATAACGCTGACCGCATGCTCGTCCTGCCTGCGCAGAGTCCAAGTCTGGGCAGGAAGGACAGCGGAATCGAAGAGGTGGGCACGGAGCCGGATGTTCTTCGTCTTCTTCACTACTCCCTCGATGTTCTTGTACGCTCCCAAGCCGCTCGTTTCCTCCTGCTCAGCTCTGGAGCTAGATCGTTCATCATATTGATTTCCCGACCTAGGTACACGTAGCTGGAGCATTCGGTGATGTTCGTTCCGTTGAGCGTGAATGGGGCATCAGGAACCAATCCGTTTCTCATAAACATCGTCTTCGTTAGGTTCAGCTGCAGACCAACCTTACCACAGGCGCAGTCGAAATCAGCCAGCATTCGCTCCGCTTGCTCGATGTTCGGCGTTTAAGAACGACCTCGGTCAGACTCAGCGATTGCGTCGACGCAATCGCAGGCGACGGAGCCGCCCGGCACAAGAGTGGCACAGCGGGCGATGACTCATCACGATCGATATCGGTTGGCAGAGGGGAGATTAATCATCCTCACCCATGGTTCAATTGTTGTGCTCGGTTTTTTTTTCAAATGGTGTGATGATTATTCTTCCCCTGCCAACCGATATCTACCTTAACATTTTTAGGTGTTTGCTTTCTAGGAAACGCTCTATAATTGTTTGCTTGTTTGCTCTATAATTACTGAGGCATACCGTTGATCATGATTTCGTTTCCCTTGGCACATAAAACATCTCACTCAAATCGAAAACACTCCGTCACTTTGATGGGGCCTCTCATTGTTTGTTTTGTCGCCGTTAGACCTCGGTCAGACTCGGCGATTGCGTCGCTGGACACCAGCGACGGAGCCGCCAGCGACGGAGCCGCCAGCCACAAGAGTGGGCAACGGGCGATGACTCATCACACGATCGATCGATCACACTACTAATTTGTATGAAATTTTGGAATGTGGCACTTCGCTCGGCGACATAATAACTAGTCTTTTACATAATTAAGCTTAAGGTAAATTAGCGATCAGGACCTCTAAGTCTTTTCATAGTTTTAAGACACAATGAGGAGTTTGAACTATATCAAAATACTTTTGTACGTATGAACTTCTAGAGTTTTTAACCACCATCCCTTTGAAATCCGAGTTAGCCTTCCAAACGTTCAATTCGTTTCCCAAGCAATGTGTACTATGAAAGCTCTCATCTGTAGTTACATTTTGTCTATTGGTAAAGTCAAAAATCAGAAAGAAAAACTGCGTTCAGGGGAAATTTTTGCATAATGTTGAGCAAGATTTGGTCGCGCCAAAAAGAGGCGCGGTCCCACGAGCACGCTACGTCCAAATCCGCATTGTCGTCAAAGGGTTAATCTCCCCCCCTGCCAACCGATATCGATCGTGTGATGAGTCATCGCCCGTTGCCCACTCTTGTGGCTGGCGGCTCCGTCGCTGGTGTCCAGCGACGCAATCGCCGAGTCTGACCGAGTTCTAAGGGCGATGTCGTCAGCAAAACGAAGGTGGTGTAGTTGCCGGCCGTCGACCTTCACTCCCATGTCTTCCCATTCCAGTTGACGCATGACGTTCTCGAGAGCGGCGCTGAAGAGTTTGGGCGAGATGGTGTCGCCCTGTCGAACCCCTCTCTTGACGTCGATGATGACCTCCTTGTAGAATGGTGAGATTCTGGTCGTAAAGTTGCTGTAGAGCTCACGAAGAATCTTGATGTACTGAGTAGGGACGCCCTGGTTGCCCAAGGCTTCGATGACCGCTTCTGTCTCCACAGAGTCGAAGGCCTTCTTCGAGTCAAACAGAGAATTACGATAATCAAAGCAACAGTCCCAGCAGGATCTATACTGCGAAGGCTAATGGTGTAAAAAATGTGTTGGCCCTAGTCAAAAACATAACCAAGTGTCAGCGAACACAAAAACTCACCTTGGGAAGCTGTTACAGGAGAGCTGATCGTGTGGCAACGCTTTCCTACCTAATCCTTCAGTCCGCCCACTTGTTGGCCGTCCAAATGCTCGTTTGGCTGCGTAGACATGTGCGTCGTTTCGGGACTTCAGAAACTATTTGTACTTGATTCTTAAGCCGTTCAATGTTTCCGCCTGCGCTGGATTTTATTTGAAACTGTAATGTTTAGAGGCTATGTTTCTTCATAACACTTGGAATCAGTTGCAGGTCTTCAGTAATAACGGTTTTTGACAAGCCAGCTCACACAACTCGTCGGCCCGCTCCTTCCTTATTTCGGAGGAGAACGAGGGTGTCCTTTTAAGGGCTTCATAGGCGGTTTTCTTGCTTTTTTCAATTGCGATCACTCGACATCCACGATTTCATTATCGACCGCTTTTAGCCTGCAAATTCGACCTTAAAATGTTGCTTTAAATGCTTCCAGCAAGTAAAATTATGCAAAAAGCAGACGGCATTCCTCGAAATGCGGCACAGTTTAAACGCAATCGTGCAAGGATCACACAGCCAATCACGCGATTTCCCTCGCTGGCAAGTGGGCGGATCAATGTAAAAGGCGGATCAATAGCGTTGGTACATGTCCATGTCCCTTATAAGGCTGTCAAAGAAGAGTTTTTGTAAACGACACTTCTTATGTTCTTAACTGGGGCTGGTTAGGGCTCACGATCTTTTTCACCCATTAGTAGCAAAAGTATGCATCTCGCTAGGAGCGTAGCTTGAAAGGCAAAACTCACACTCTCGATAAAATTGATGTTTACGAAAGAGAAAAAATGGGCTGTGGGAGGGTAAAGTTGGGTCAGGTAGATAATATGAGGGACTTTGAGGGCAGAAACACCTATCAAGGAACTAGTAAGGAGCAAAAGTGTCCAAGGAAATTCAAGCATACCATACTCCTAATGTGTTGCGCGATTTTCCTCTCAAGCACCTTTCAAACTATGCCGCCTCACCTTGACATCTTACTAACTTCAGCTTTCGCCTTCACGTATGACGGTTCTTCTGTACAGAACATACACTACAAAGATAACATATGAAACAAATACTGATAGTATGATTACAAAAAACGAGTTGTTGAACGGCCACCAACCATTTGCCGTGGTCAAGTCCTCCAAATTTGAAATCAGCGCAGGAGGGTGCCGTTTCTCGGCTTTTTGACCACTTCACTTTTTTCGCAGATACACCATGGGGCGCCTCTTCTTTCTTAATTTCAATGGGATCAACGTATCGTGAATTTTCTTTCCAAAGTGCTGTTCTACTGAAGCCGCTGTAGGAACGTCACCAAGAAGTTCACACACTCTCGAAGTGAACTCATTCATACAAATAAAGAGGAACTGGGTAGTATAGCGTTATGTTCCGCAATTAAATATCTGCTCTTTCCTGTCCTGACTATCCCACCGTCTCACAACTGGCTGCTGTATGCTGCAATCGTCGCAGAGGAATTTCACAACGGCAGCAGTCCCAGCGGCACAAAGTTGTGCTCCGTTTAACCTATGTCCGCATCGAGGGCACAGTCGAAACAGCTGCATCAACATCTTCCCTTTAACAAGGTAATAACGATCCAAATCAGCTGGGTCTGTCTCCTGGAGAGATGGTTTGTTATTTGACGTGGATATCGATTCGTGGTCTGGTGGAAACTCGTCCACTCTCTAAAAAATGAAAATTCAGAAAACCATAAGTTTCAGCGCGATAAAATTTAATTATTACAGAAATTGATGAAGTCGGCTTCTCGTCCTCCAATTTAACCAATGAGAAATGCTTATCAGAATCCGGCATGCTTTCCATCCCGACACTATTTTCACCTTCGTCCACCGTTTCTCCATTCGTCTGTATTTGGTGTTGATAAATATTCAGCCACGCTTAGAAGTATCTATCACCTCTTCATTTACTGGCCACATTGATGTTGAGTAATAGCGTTTTAGAGCGTCATTGAGAAATGTGCTGACATCGCGCGGCGTGATCTCGTCGTAGTCCTAAACTTTGTACTCACATGAGTATTTAAAGAAAAGGAATTGCTATAGAAACCACACCTTCGCTTTCCGGTTCAATGCGTCCACTATTTCTTGAGGAATGTCACCATCCGTCACGTATGCTGTGCGCCCACATGCACTAGGATCTTCAAAGTGAGCCAAATGTTTCCCCTTCGCCACCATTTCAGCCAGTACATTACTGAGCCTAGCACAGTGAAGACTAACCTTCCGAACAGAACAAAAAAAAAAAGATTCTAAGCTCGTTCCACTCACCGCATGCACAGTATGTTCATGGCATATAAAAGGACGTCCATGCACGGCGTCTTCAATGAGTCGACGCATTTTTAGAGTGTCCAATGTAACCAGCCAGCGAGAGCGACATCACAATAGAAAAAAAAAAGACAATGTTTTGCTTCTTCGTAGTAGACGTCCTTCTACTTCTGCCGATCGGCAACATTTTATCACAAATCAAGCACTTTACCATTTCCAACAGATATGCTGAAATAAATCCATCTGTGACAGCTTTCCATAATTAGTCACTGAGGTGAATCTTCAGATGAAGAATTGATAGGCATTTCACAATCTACGGCCTCAAAGAATCAGAAGTGGCGAATACGCAGAAATTCTGCCTGATCGAGAGGATAGGAGAATGGCCGATGTCAGACTCTGCGATTGGAGCGATTCGGTCAAATGTGAATCGCGCGCGATTCGCGCGACGATCGCGCGATTCACATGACTCCCATCATGACCAATCGCTCCAATCGCGCGATGGGCGCGATCACTCCCGTTGTGGCAGGGAGCGATCAATAGCTGGCGCGCCCCCCTCGATCGATACGTTGACTGCGGAGCTGCGCTCCCTGCCACAACGGGAGTGATCGGCCTATCGCGCGAGGTCAATAGCTGGCGGACCCGCACCCCTCGATCGATACGTTTGACCCGTGCGATGCTGCGCTCGCCTGCACATGGGAGTGATCGGCGCCCATCGCGCGAAGCGATCAATTAGCTGGCGGCGATTCCCCGCCTCGAATCGGAATACGTTGACTGGCGGATGCTGCGCTCGCCTGCCCAACACGGGAGTGATCGGCCATTGCGCGATTGAGCGATTTGGTCATCGGATGGGAATTTGACGAGAGTCGCCTTGCAATCACAGAGTCTGACATCGGCCATGGCGAACAGCGTTCCCCAAATTCAGCGACTCCGACGGGTCAGCTCACCTGATGTGACACCATATCCAAGCCTCGCGCTGATACTCGACGTTTCGCCCACGATCTGTTTTACCTGTGGCGCTCAATTTCTCAGTGAATAAATATATAATATCTTGTGGGACGCATGCCATACATAGTCGGTCCGTGCCGAACAGCAAGGGATGCGTAACTTTCGCGCGCACTCGGATGGCCAGAGCCTTCGCTGAGTATTCGATCGGGTAGCAATCCACGTAACGTTACGGTCGGACGACCGACTATGCATGCGCCCTTTCGCAGATCACTCCAATTTCCCAAGGCCGTAGATTGTGAACTATGCCTTGCGCTGTAAGCAATGAGAGCAAGCGAAAAGATGTAAGACCGCAGCCATTCAATACGTTTTGGGATTGTTAAGCGAGAAATCGAATACATGAACAGGATTGAAGAAAACTAAGGGCCCTCAAGCGGAAATTGATGATGCGCAGCTGACTTAGTTGCAAAGACAAGAAGATTAAAGAAAAGAAGATTCAGCTGAAAATTACTGCTTGACTGGAAGATTCCTAATCTACTCTTCTCTGGAATCTTTCAGGTGATCCTCTTATTCCCTAATCTCAAGAACTCCGGCTGTCTTCATAACCTGTGCTTTGGATGAATCAAAAAAGGAAAGACTTTACTTTTTGCTCACCCGTACCCAGATCAACCCTGGCATGAGGCCGGTTTCAGAATTTTGACAACCTCGACCTCTTAGGGGGTCTTAAAATTCGACATAATCCCTCATCACCCCGTCAACTCAACCTTGAGTTTTCCCGTACGAACCTCCTTCACTAAGTCCGATTACCTCCTTTTCCGAAAAAAATCGCAATATGACCCCTTCCTCTCTCCCTCTCCCGTCTGGCTCGGCTAGAAGGACGGACGGTTAAACCCATTTCATAAGATTTGCCTCTGCCCCAGCTTGGAAAAATATTGGCTGGTCGGAAAATCGGCGAAAACGAAACTACCACACTGAGTACGGTCCATTCTGTCCTCTTCACGTCTCAAAACTCGCGAATCCACGAACCACCCGAAATATTGAGTAAGATCGCTGCTTTTCGCCTTGTGGTGCTGTCTCAATAGCGACTCAATGTCTGCCAAACCGAGCCCGTTTCTAAAGCCTTTTTTTGCTGCTAAATGAATCGAATTATCTTTACACACGTGCCACGACTGCCTTATTTGTAACGCTCAGTTTTAACTTTGAAAATGTGTTTCAAAACAAGATTTGCTATGATAATCAGCGCACTGTAGCAATACATAGCTATACATGGGAAAAAAGCTGCAGGTAGAGTGGGACGAGGCTTAAAACCATAGAGAAACAATCAATCGATCACATGCAATCATTTCAAGTTCTAAACACTGAACAATATGAAGACGAAAACCTTGGCGGCGGCATTAACAGTTGCGGTTCGAATAGAGCACACTTTTGACTTGACGCGAAATTGCGGCGTTTACTTCGTCTAGACGGAGTAGTTTTTTTTTTTTCTGCTACAACTTGTTCCGGCTATCGGAAGAGAATTGCTAGCATAAGGCCTTGGCTTATGGTTAGCAGTTTCCACCATTTTCCATTTGCAGATGAGCGCAAACACCATTCTTTACACTTCCTTCCAATGTGAAAGCTGTTGCGAACTTTACTGACCATAACGAATCGTTGCTGGAAATGAAAGGATCCATCCTCCTGAGCTATTGCTAAGACACTCACTTATAGTATCCACTGTTTGTAATTCTTGCGTATATACACTAATTGCTGGCAATGTCGATAGCGGTAGTGGGTGATGAATGGCGCAGGGACAAGTGGTGCCGCTCCCACGCGCATGGTTCGGAGATCAAATCCTGGTCGACCGAGTCGTCGAGGGTCGCATATCTGGTGCAAATGCTGTTTGCACATCGCCTAGTTCCTCAATCATTGTGTAGGCCAAATCCTGTCCAACGTGTCACTCAGATTCTAAATGGAAGGGGATTGTGTAGCGTATTCTGAAGGGACTGAATTAAGTCGAATGCATTATCAGCTGTGTTTTATGCGATGGCAGTAAAAGTTAATAAAATCATCGAACTGGGGGGTTTTGCTTTGAAGGGAGCGGTCTCGATGGCTGAGAGGCGCAAACGAGTTTGCAGTCTCGATGCTTTTCCACCATTGATATATCCAACTTGTTGGCAAACTTTGTCCCTATAACGTTTCCTACAGATGCAGCAGTTGAACCTGTAACTTGTAACTGTACGAATAAGGGTTGTTGCAACTGAGCTGCTATTTACACCATACTAAGCAGTTGTGTATGGGTGGCGGAAAATGTTAATTATACATAAATCCCGACGTCCATCTTCATTATGGCATTCATTTATAAGGCCGTTGAGATAATTTTAAGGACATACCTCACGAACGGGTTCATCGGTAAAAACCCTTCCGCGAGCGAGGATGCAGCGAGGAAATTTCTGCAAATGAAGAGCGAAAAGAATTGCTTTGCTTACGAGAAGTGTACCAACAAATCTTTTGTGGCACAGGTGACGAGATAGATGAAAATCGTGGAATAATATCTCTGAAATACCTCGATATGAAGGAGCAAACCTTCACTCATTGTTCCCTCATCACCGCTGCGACCGCTGCCATTTTTACTCTTCGCATTTTTCAAACGAGCCTGCTCCCTTGCTTATTCATTCTCTTTGCTCTGTGTCTCTTCATCTGACCACGTTCGACCACATGAAAAGAGAAGCAGCTTAACACCATTCTCTAATGTTCACTGCGTTTCTTCTTTACTGATGGTCCTCTTCGCAGTTCTTTTTGCATTTTAGACCGGAATAATATACCAATGGTGTCGCACCCTCCCAACGTAAAGGCAGCTCATGAGAATCAATGTAGAGGTGATCACTGGTGACGGGATGAAGAAGAAACTATGAGAAACGGGCCACAACCCGGGAAATGGGAGTCCGTTGATCTCCGCACTGATGCGGCTCTCATCGGTGCTGCCCTCTTCAACGCTAACGCTCCCTGCTGAACGGCCAGAGATCTGCGGCGAGTGGCTAGCCAGTGGGCGTGCCGCGTCGAAAGCGCTTCATGGAGGGCCATACCAGATCGCACTGCAAATTGCGTGTCGATGCGCACCCTTAGGGGATCCGCCTATCTTTCCACTAGGGAAGTTTCCCCTCCTTCGAATTCCAGCTTATAGTGGAAGGGTATATGGTCCGTCGTAGTCATTAGAACCTGAAGCAGCCACGTAATTTTTTCGATAAGTTACCGTTGAACAAATTCCGAAGAGCCGTGGTTCTGTTTCTGTACGGCCTTGGTCAGCCTTGCAGTTAAAGACGGTGTTAAGCGTATTCCGGATTGCACCATGAACTCGCCCTCCATTCAGAATTATGCTGGCATTGCTCACATGATTAACCCATCGGCTGCTAGCAGCCTACAGACAATTCACTGTTTTTCTTTTCCATACAATTCCCCGAATAACAACCGCTATGGGACGCTTGGACCACCGGCGATTCACATAACCGAAATCAAATTGCGACGTAGCGGGTGCACTCCACCATACCCCTTCTCCACTCGTTGATAAACGTTTATTATTACTAATATTATGTGATAATAACTTATATTAATGCCTAACTGTGTAACGCATTAGACCAAAGCATAGAGCATGGAAATTAGCGCAAAATAAAAGTAAGTCAGGGAGCCGTAAATAAAAAATAAAATAAATAGCTAAATACAGATCGTCTGTCTTCGGCAGAAGTCACTGCCGATTTCGGGGCGTATAAAAGGAGGTAATATTGTAAATGTGCCTCGAGCGGGGCGCAACAAGCCTGCACAGTGCACTGCTGAACTGAACTAATGAACCAAAGTGTCCACATCAGTTCGCCACATCGGCGTCCGAGCGATGTGGAAGAATAAAGCTTTGGAGTATCATCTATCTGAACTTCGGCTCCACACGTATCCACCTTCGCCATTATTAATTATTCGTAACAAGGAGGCCGACAAGCGCCCATATAACTAAATAGAGGGTAAGCGCGCATATTATCTGAATTAAGCCGGTAACGGCTTTTTATGCTGTATTTGGCGAGCAAAAGCTGGCGCAAGAGTGCGAGTATGACGTGCCGCCATTCTAGCAACTGTCATA